GAGTTTTCTTTTCCATTTCCCATGGTCCACACCACTCTCTGCTAGTTCCTGTCCCTGGCAGGAGCCTCCATTCTGAGGGTTGGGCCTCCCCACCTTCCACCTGCCCCAGCACCTGAGGTGGCCCATTACACACAGCTTTGGTTTAATTTGAGTTGCAGACAAAGGACCTTTTAATATAACACATCTCAAATACGGTATGGGAGATTCTTATACTCGAAAATTACTCACTGTTTATCTGAAATTCCAATGTAACAGCACATTCCGTGCTTGTATTTGTCTAACCCTAACCTGAGGCATCTGGGATGGGACTTGCTGTATAATAGGAGGGGTTTGGAGGAGGGTGGCTGGGGTGGCCACTCCTAGGGAAGACCACAGAGGGAGACAGAGAGGGTCCTCCTCCGAGCCAGGGTTTGGGCAGTCAGCAAATCCAGGATTTCAGAGGGAGAGGCAGCCGGTGCAGCCATGCGGAAATGGAGCGACCAATCGCCCCAGGTTGCCTGGGACCTCTTGGTTTTCACACAAAAAATCCCACTTTCCCCAAACCTGACAGTCCGAGGAACCTGGGATGGAGGAGGGCGGGCCAGATCCAGGGAAGCTTCAGCCCGAAGCTGCAGTGGTGTTAGCCCTTCCCAGTATGGTTCTCCTCCCAAAGCTGTGAACTCGCAGAGACAATGCCGCCCTGCCCACGGAGCTCCAGCTGGGGGACCCTGTCATGCCCGGTCCCGGACCTGCAGGGACACAAAGTAGTATGATGGAAAGCTGGGAGGTAAGGCGGCGGACTCCAACCAGGGACGGCATAGGGCCTGTTACCCCAGGGGCAGTGGCAGAAAGTGACAGGAGGGGCCTTGGGGTGCCTGAGGGATGGGTTTGCCACCCCTAGGAGGGAGCTGTGAACCTGCAGCCAGCTCTGCACTTAGAACCTTTGTGTCAGTAGATTGCCCTTCAACAAAAGGCTTTGTAAGCGCTCACAGTCTCTGAGGCCCCTGAGAAGCAGGCAGGAGCAAGGCTGTGTGTGTCAAGCTCTGGGTGGAAATGAGCCGTAATTCTAGCACAGCCCCACCACAGCCTTTCTGCCCTCCTTCCCTCTCCTGAGGCACCGAATCCCGTTAGCCAGATGGGCTCCCAGATGGCTTGGAGAGCTGCGGCTGGGCCTGACTCAGGGCCAGGAAACAGGTGCAGCCTTCCAGGGCGGCTCTGAGTCAGCGCTCGACCTGCCCCCACCGCCGGCAGTCGCTGCTGGGCTGTCACCAGCTCTCGCTCCTCCCGACTGAACTAACTTCCCAGAAAGTGTACAACTGCGTGCATCACCCCAGGGAGCAGATGCAGCCCCCAACTCCAAGAGAGGTCTTGTGCCTGACCTTCGCTGAGGAATTTCAACTCAAGAGCTCACTACAGGGGCGCTGCGGCAGGGTGGGCCCCAAGAGGACACCAGTAGTGGGCGGGGCGGGAAATGGAGATTTTTCTAGGTATTGAGCCCAGGGCTGGGGGTGCTTGGCTAAGGGTGAGTTAGGGAGAAGGGTACAATGCTTCCAGGCAAGGACAGCACACCCCAAAGAGCCCAGGGCTTGTAGGACGACCGGTGCAAGACCAAAAGAGCAACGACCCCACTCCACTCACTGTAGAATATTAGGGGAGACCTGAGCTTGCTTTGGAGCTGCGTCTGGGTAGGATGGTGGAGAGACCTTGGGGACCCCCTCCCCGTGACACAGGTGGAGGGTGCCAGCTAATGAAAAGGTGACTAAGCACCTTTAGAAGACGCAGATCTCAGCGCTGTTCTAGTGGCTGAGGGCTCACCTCAAGCTGTCTTCCCGGGGGAATGCAGCTTGGCTGGGGGGAGCTCTGTACCCACGGCTCTGCCAGCTGCATTCGTGGCCCCTGTGTCAGTGCCAGAGGAGTGGGCCCTGGGCAGCGAGGGAGGTCTGGGATGGCTACCAGCAACTCCAGGGTACATGTGAGATAAAGGCCAGTTATAGGTCATCCTGCATTTACTCACTTTCCCAATAGCAATGAGGTCACAGTGGACCTGGCAGGTGATATGCATTTGTCACTCTCTCCCCAGCCTGCCCTGTAAGAGCCCATCTTACCCACATCGGCTCCTTGCCGGCGTCCGCTGTGATGGAGCCTTTCATTTGTTTGTAATCACTAATTTGCTCATCAAAGGTTTGTTGAGCATTTTGTGTGAGACACTGATTACAGTAATTCCAACTATAGATAACAGAAAACCCTAAAAACCATTGGCTTAAATAAGAGAGAAGTGTATTTGTCTCTGCTATGAAATAAGGCTAGAATCAGCAGCTCAGAGACCCAGACTCAGGGTGACCTAGCACCTGGGTCCTTGGGTCTTGCTCTCTGTCACCTGCGACTATCAGGTTGTGGTTCAAAATAGCTACCCACCTCTCTAGGCACGAGGAAGAAAGAAAAGAGAACAAAAAGGAACCTCCCCATTTGATCCCCCCTCTTGGAATGCTCAGGGGCGCCCCCATACCTGCCCACCCCTCAGGTCTGGCTCCCTGAATCCACGTGCCTCCTCCTCATGATGCGCGCGGGGGCGGGTATTTGTGTCATTGCTCCCACGTGTTTGAGTGTCCTCTAGAATGTCCTCTCCGTGAGCTTGGGGTGCTTTGCTGCTCCTGTCACTGTGCAGCCCAGTGCCAGGTCAGTGGGAGGACAGATTCCCGTGCAGGGTCACAGTCCAGATGGCCTCAGGTCCCTTACTTTTGGGGGTTGTCAGATTCAGGTTGTTTTTCTGGGTGGCGGTGAGCAGAGCTTCTAAGGGAAGATGAGCCAGCTCACAGGGGGGAGGTGAGACTGCTTTCCATTACTCTAATGGTGACCCATTTTGTCTGCCACACACTGGGCCGTCTTGAAGATGACAAGTTGACAATGACTCTCAATGGGTCATTGCTGAGCGCGGAGCCCATTAGAGCACTGGCTGTGGGTTCCAGCACAGCCTGTACCGGAAGCAGGGCTGTCAGTCGTCACGCTGTCCTCTGCCTCACCCGCTCCTCTGACGGTGGGAAGCCGCAGCTGGCCTACCGCTCCTGCCTGCTCTGTGGTCGGTACAGTGCCACAGTGAGCACTTCTGTGCCAGGGTCCCAGCCACACCCGGGAAGGGTGCAGACCCCCTCTCCTAGACAAGGAAGGAGCAGCAACTGCTGCGCCCCTTGGCGGAGGACGTCGGACCCTGGAGAAGATAGGCAGGTTGTGTTTATAGAGTACAGGAGCCTAGTTACCCACTGAAACCTTAAATGGATTGGCAGACATGAGATTTGCTCTTGGGTGCTTATGATTTTTCCACAAGATAATGTGAAAAATATGGCCAAAAGGTGGTTTCAGCTTCTTTTTAATTTGTATTTTCTTATGTGTTGAGCCAAGGATTCACTATATTGCCCAGGCTGGCCTTGATCTCCTGGACTTAAGTGAGCCTCCTGCCTTAGCCTCCTGAATATTTGGGACTAGGGCACCTGGCTTTTGGCTCTTTTAAAAAAGCTTATCTGGGACGGTAGAACACACCCTCTGGGAGGCTGAGGCCAGAGAGTGGCAAGTTTGATCCCCACCTGGGCTATTTAGCAACTTAGAAAAACCCTTCCTCAGAAAAGGGGCGAGCAGGGCTGGGGATTTAGTTCAGTGATGCTACACCTGTCTCACAAGTACTAGGTCTTGAGCTTGATCCCTGGCACCCAAAAATGGGCAGGGGAGGCTGCTAGGGATGTAGCTCAGTGCAAAGGTCCTGGGTTCAATCCCCAGTTCTGCTAAATATAAATAAATAAATATATATAGATTCTTTTTCTCATGTTGGTTGCAGTGCTGATGCCTTGTGTGACCCTGAACTGCCCTGCTGGCTGCTCCAAGGCCATTGAGAGACAATCTGACAGCCCTGCTTCAGTCAGCCCTCACTCGGGGTACAGTGGGGAAAGCAGGAGGCCATGCACTGTGCCTACAGGGGCCACCTTGTCCCCACTGAGACCCCAGCCGTGGATCTATGACTGAATTTTCCTGGGGACCTTGGGGACACGGGGGAGCAGCATAGGTGATCAGTTGTGTGCCCCTCTTCACCTGTTGAATTTAAACATTTGCAGGAAAGAGGATGATGATGGAAAGGCACTTTAAGTGCTGCAGGTGGAACCCAGGGCCTCACACATGCTAGGCAAGCACTCTACTACTGAGCTAGAGCCCCAGCCCCTTTTAAAATTTTTAAATAGGGTCTTGCTAAGTTTCCCAGGCTGGCCTCAGACTTGGGATCCTCCTGCCTCAGCCTCTGGAATAGCTGAGATCATAGGCATGTGCCAGGGTCTTCGGCCCTATAAGGAGGTGCTTACAGGTAAACTACCCTGAAGTTTCTTTTAAAGCAGAACAAGGAAATAGAGTACACTGGCCTAAATGAAAGCTCATTAGAACAGGCTTCATTTTCCAGCTCATGACTAAGGGACAGGCTTTGTGTCTAGTTTTTAATTTATCCCAAGGATCTAGGTTTAAAACTTCTGCTTTTTCAAACACAGTAGGAGCCTCCTTGACAAGGGAGATTGAGATCAATGTGTCCTCTGTCTCTGGTAAGACTGGAGGAAGGACTTGTAGCAGGAAGGAGAGGTTGAGGCTGACCAAGATGTCCCATCCACTGGGATGGAATCGTTCTCAGAAGACAAGCAAGATCTCCGAATGACAGCAGGACTCACCAGGAAGCCTTGGGTCTCCTGGGCACAGTGGTCCCAGCCCCTGGCAGCTCCTTAGTGCTGTGTACATACTAGGACATAGGCACAAAAGGTGTCTGTCCCTGTCACTTCTGAGTCCCAAGAGATGCCACATTTCAGCTGTCCCCCCTCCATCCACTGTTAAGGCTGCCAAGGAGAGGACTGCTGTAGATGTGGGTTGTATCCAGCCAGGTAGAGGGCACAGTCAGGCACATGGTGGGCTGACAGTCCCCTCCCTCTGCAGAAACCTGGAGGTGCTACCTGCATTTCTCCTGATGTCCCAATTGGGGCGGAAACAGACGGCGCACCGCCATGCACGTGGGTGAATCCGAGTTCAGGAGGCCTTTGGGAATGAGCTCAGGAGGGTCTCCTCCTAAACCTAACCCTAACCCCCACCACCACCCCCGTCAACCACTACTCAACCCGGGCGCCATCCTAGCGCCCCTGTGTCAGGAAGGGCCCACAGCTGTCCCGCATCTGGATGAAGAATCCCCTTCACCACAAGACTGGGCCCACCCCGCCAAGGACCGCCCGGCCCGACCCCGGTGCAGCGCCCGGAGGAGGGCGCCCCTTGT